AGAAATGACTCGGATTTCACCAACTGGCGGAGGGGGATTACCTGGGGGCCGAGGCTGTTGTGGGGGGGCAGTCACGGCCTTGGTTAGGTTAGGCTGGCTGCTGGGGTGGGGTACGCCGGCGGTTATTTCTGAGGAGCTCGGTTCTTTGCCTTTGTTGTGGGCGGGTGTCCGTGAACCGGCTGAGACGCCCTTGGCGAATGAGGGTCTCGACCTGATCCTTGAGGTTAATGCAGTCATCAGTGTTGTGGCCATGATTCTGGTGGAAACGACAATATTTGGACTGGTCTGTTCGGTTGGAAGGGGTTCGTGAGGGCAGGGGCCATTTGAGGGGGTAATCCCGTTAGATCTGGTGAATGACTTGTTCCATGGGAGAATTAAGGGGCGTGTACCGCTCGAACCGACCAGGAGGTCGGGCTGGTGCCGACCTTTCAGCGCGAGGAGGTCAGTCGGTATATTGGAGTGTTTGGCTGTTATACTGGGTGTTTCTGGGTTCCGAGTCTTTTTTCTTTTCTCTGGGGGTCGAGTTTTTGGATATTGGATCCTGCCAAGCGGCTAGTGAATCTTCGGCATTCGTATACTTCTGGGCCTTGGATAATAGGGCTGCCATGGAGGTCGGGGGGTTTTTAGAGATGGAGAAAAGGAAATCGGACAATCGTAGCCCGGCCATGAAAGCCGTGAGGATGACCTTATCGTCATTCTCCGCTACTTGTAGGGCTTCGGTGTTGAAGCGGGTAACGAAGCTGCGCAGCGACTCCCCCTCAGTCTGACGGATATTGAGGAGTTGGGTTGCAGGGCGGCGTTGGCGCTGGGCTCCCATGAAATGGCTAAGGAAGAAGTCGCTGAGATGTTGGAAAGTGGAGACAGAGTCCGCTGGTAACTAACTGAACCACAGTCGAGCTGACCCCTTCAGTGTCACGGGTAAAGCCCGACACATGATCCCGTCAGGGAAGGCATGGAGGATCATGAGGGTACGGTAGGTCTCCAGATGGTCGACTGGGTCCGTCGTACCGTCAAAGGAGTCAATGGTGGGCATCTTGAACTTGGCGGGCAAGGGTTTGTCCCGGATGGAGACGACAAATGGTGAATTTGCCGTGGTAGAGGGTTTATGCTGAATATTCTGCATGACCCCTTGGAGTTGGAGCTTCATTGCGCGGAGCTCAGTGTCCCAGAGGGGAACGTGGTCACCACGGTCAGTCAATGGAGGTTGGACGCTGCTAGCCTCCCCTTTAGGGGCTAGTGCTACGACCAACGGGTGTGGGGGTGGTGGTGGATTTATATGTGGATGGGGAGGTTGCAAACCTTCCAAGTTGGGTGGATGGAGTTGTGGAGCAGTATGGCTCGGGGTTCTTTCTTGGTTGGGGGGAATATCTGGAGGTGGGGGATGAGGCATTGGAAGGTTCCTTTGGAGTAAAGCATTTATCAAGGCCTGGTTTTGCTCGGCCATGCAGTTAATGCTGTTGGTAAGCTCGATAAAATACTGTGGTGGGTTGTTTGGATTGGGGGGGTCGGCTTGATGATCGAAAATATTGGGGTGAAAAGCCATCGATCTGAGCTTGACTTCTTTAAGTGAGACAACATAACATTCTTTGGCCACGGTCTGTTCTCCCCTCACTGTGCCGACCCCAAGATCAGTGGGGAACTTGATGGCAAGGTGGAAAGTGGATGTGATAGCTTGGAAAGCATTTAGGGCGATACGGCCAAGGATGATGTTGTAATTAGAGGGGCAGTCGACAATGGAGCGAACTGGTCCAAGCTCCTCAAGCCCAAGCCCAAATGATCGAGCCCACCGGATAACCTGCAAACAAGTTCAACGGGGAATGGGGTAGTCCCCCAGTGAACCCTCCGACGATCAAGTTAGGAAGAGAGGTAGAGTATATGGGGGGAGGTTAGAGATAGAAAGCTTAACCTTTTTCTTGTCTACAATGTTCGCTTATATCCTTTGGTAATCATTTCGCTGTCCCTTCTGACCTGCTCTCCTCGCCGAAAGCCTATGCTGTAGCTTACCTTGCTCAGGGTAAGGGGGTCCTGTTCCGGCGGAGAGGTGTTGTCGTAATAAATGCTGTGATGGGCTGCATTAATGGTGATGTGCAGTGGCAATATTTTGCAGATCTTTGTCTGCTGATGTGGTTCGTCCTTCTCTTGCCGTGTGTCTGAATGTCATTGGCTCTTTATGCCATGTTGGACTCCAATTGTCCTGGACCTCGTCAGCTGGGTTATGCACTGGGCTTCAAGTGATGGGCCATAGGTGATTCATGGCCTTTATGGGCTTATATATGTCAACAATCATGTACCGTTTATCTTTTTCTTTTTCTCCCTCCTTACAACAAACAAACTTCCTGTTAATCATAGCACCATCTTTTCTACTTTTGCTATGGTAATCTCTTCTAATGCCAAACCCCACAATCCTTCCATATTCATTATAGAATTGATATGCGACTTCTTCTAAATGAAATTCCATGCCAAGACATGGTGTTTTATCTTTGGTCAACTCCCTCATATCTTTGCTACAATTTTCATGCCCATCATTCTCCATTCCAACACCAACAAATCTAAAAAATTGAGAACAAATATAAAAGTAAGGTAACATTTTTTGAGATTGTCATGACATAAAATTTATATAGATATCACTGTAAAAAAATAAAATAAGATAAATGCCCAAGTTTTACTATTAAAATTTTTAGAATTATCTTTTCTAATTTTGAAGTAGCATAACATATTCTCTAGAACAAAATGCCTTCTAATTAAAAAATAATAATGTTTCTAACCTCAAAACAACCTAACATTCAAGGGCAGAGAAAAAATTGACAAAGAACAATCACCAATTGACCAATTGAAAGAATTAAGATTCACCTTTTTTTATTCTACAAAATTCATCATTACAATAACATTTTGTTGACAAATAAAATGATAAAATATAATACGGTATAACAATACGATAGATGTAACATTATTGTTCGTAGTTTTGAAAATAAAAAATAAAAGTTAAACAATAAAAAATCTTAAATCTAGTCATTCATTAATTTTATAATATTTTATATTAATTTATTTATATATTTTATTGTTCACTTTATTGATGTCAAAAAAAAAAAAATAAATGTATAGACTCAACAAAGCAACGCACAAAGAGGCAACAATAAAGGTGGACACATCTAGCATCTAGTATTAATAACCAAAGCAATAGTTCTAAAGATAGAAAAATAAAAAATAAAAAATAAAAAAATAACTTGTAACATTCTGCAGGAAAAAAAAACCAACCAATTACAATCACAATAGTGAAGAAAATTATATGTTTTTTCTTGAGGCCTACCAACGTTCAAAGAGAAAATATGTTGTATTCGTACAAACCTGAATAGTATGATGCAAGCGATACAGAGTCTTCGACGAAAGTGTCCGGCATAGGTAGATAGATGGTTGACCGATGAGAACAAACTTTTTCGAGTTTTGAGACACTGATAGTTGAGGGTTTGTTTGAGATTATAAAAAAAAAAAAAAATAGAGTAAAATAAATTGTAAGATCTTAATGGTGTAGTTTTGATTTTTAAGATTTTTTAAACAAACAAAATTCCAAAACGGAAATACTAACAAAATTCCAAAACGGAACTACTAACAAAATTAAAAAACGGAACATATTGTATATTTATAAGGTATAAATAATATATATGTCTTTAGTAATAGTAAGTATACTAACTGGCGTAGTGATAAGCGTTGGCACCTTTCTTGGACAGGTCAGGGGCTCGGAGCTGTGGAATTAATTTTAAAATCACTTTGGCGCCCAAAACGACGTCATTTTGGGCGTGCAGCAGTTGCGCAGCAGCATCTCCAAATCCGTAGACTTGGTGCTTGACAATTGAATTTTATTAAGTAAATTTGACTGAATCTAATGATTCCATTCATGGCTATCTCCTTTCATGTTCATATATGGTAAATCAACTATTATTCATGATGACTTAAAATGCGATAGTATCTAATGATTCCATTTTTTTGCCACTCAACAACATAATCTCAAGCACAAAATGTGACTTTCATCCAATGATTCCATTTTGATGATTCTCATAAACATAATCTCAATTACAACTGTTGTTGTCCAGTTTTTTTACCATCAGAACATGCTCAAAATGTTGTACAATCATCATTAGTCATCCAAAGATCACATATAATAATAATAATAATAATAATAATAATAATAATAATAACAAACAAAAAAAATGATGAAAATCGGAGAAGAAGAAGAACGGCGAGAGAGGAACAGAGAGTGTGATATGATCTCTGTCTGTGTAAACCCTAACTCGATATATATATATATATATAAAACAAACAAAAGGCATGAACTCTTACCTTTTTGGTGCAGATCAACGGAAAACAGAGAGGAAAGGAGTTCGATCGGCTGATCTTGAAGATATGAAGGAGTTCGATCGGTTGATCTCAGAGATGTGGAGGATCTTCTTCAGTCGCCAAGAGAGGAAATGAGAAGAGGAGTGTGAGGAGAGGAGCGGGCTAAGGCATATAGTGGAAATTCTATAATTATTAAAGTTTTGAAGGGGCATTTAAGTCATTTCATCCCCCTCCAATCAGCTGCACGCTTAAGCTGTAATTCTAAGCATCCCTCGAGCAGCTTCCAAATTTAAGTTGAAAATAGCTTTAAACAAGCTATAATTTGATAATTTAAGTTGTACCAAACACAACATTATAACTTAAATTAAGTCAAAAGCTGAAACAAACAGCTTTTAAGTTCTACCAAACAGGCACTAGGTCACATGTCTAAGGGAGTATTAGGGGCGCAAATTGCCTCTCTAAACCATCTTTGTCCCTAGTCACTTTTTCAAACCTTTAGTCTCATATAGTTAAGGAGGGCCTTCTCCCTTTGTTAGCAGATTATTTTTGGTTGGATGTTTGAAAATTTTAACATTGTGCATTCGCAATCACACAATTTATTTATTTATTTTTATTTAAATAATATTAAATTGTACAATTGTGAGTCATAAAAAGATAGAAGGACATATATAGTTTTAGAGATATAAGATCATGTTCCTTCAATATATTGTATAAGTTACACAAGGTCTGCATTGAGTTTTCCAAGGCCTTAGAATTTAACATATTAAATTTTATTCATTTATGAAAACCACAGCGGTAAGATCCTCATTTTACATATTATCATTGTAAAGATCAATCAAATCCTAAATTTTCTGTAATATCAAGTGAGCACTATGTTGGGGATTCAGTGTAAAAACATGGGAAGGAGCGTGCACATATGATGGGGAAAGCTGAAATGAGAAACGTTGTAAAATCATTGCTAAGGCTATTTTTGCTTCTATCATTGCAAAGTTTTGTCCAATGCAGTTACGGGGACCCCCACCAAAAGGAAGGAATGTGCCTGGGGTCTTTGTTGCCTTTGTAATTCCTTCAGAAAATCTCTCAGGCTTGAACTCCATTACATCTTCACCCCAAGTTTCACGATCACGATGGATTGACATAACTGACAACAAAAGTTCCAGTCCAGGAGGTAGAACAAAATTTTCGACCTTTGTCTTCTTGTGTACAGTTCGAACAAGTATAGGTACTGCTGGGTATAACCTAAGAACCTCGTAGAAAATCATGGTCATCTGCAATGAAAAAATTGTAGAAAAATTATTATTATTATTATTATTATTATTATTTTTTCTAGTGGGGGTTATGCTATGAAGGCATAAATTGATCATAAAATTAAACACAAAATACATATGAACAAATAAAGGCTCCGTTTGGTAAGACTTTCTAACTATGATTTGAGAATATGAGTTGTATTTTGAATTTGTGTGTTTTGAAATTATGATTTGAGTGTAGAAAATTTGTTTGGTTATGATTTTGAATAGAGTGTTGAATTGAGTGTGAAATTAAGTATTGAAAATTTGATTTGGCATGTGAAGTAAGAAAATTTGTTTGGTTATGAGTTTTGAAAAGAGTTTTCAAAACTTAATTCAAATTGTTATAACTCATAACAAAGCACACTACTTTCACACTATTAAAAATTCTGATCAACACTACATAGTAAAAGTACATATGTCTTGCATACCATATGCAATGTATACTCAAGAATTTTTCAAAAATTATAAATTTTTTCTTAAATTTGTAAATATTTTGTAAAATTATTATTAATTTCTACTTTTTTTATTTAAAATTTTGTATTCATCTCACATCGAAAATACAAAAAAAATGTTGAATTAATAAACACCCACGTAAAATATTTTATTGTATAAGAAATTGTAAAGGAAAAAGATTGGTAGCTCGAATCTGT